TATTTAAAAAATCATAGCTGTCCAAGGGCGGCAAATATTTTTTTTGGGTATAAAAAAAAATTAACGTAAACACTAAAAATATTTTTTTTCTAACATCTCTTAAAACTGGAGTAGTAAAGCCACATGCTACCCAAGCCTGGGTCATCAACAATATTAGAAAGCTCAAGAAGGTCAACTACAAATCATCTATTCCATAAAGTTAGCAACCCTTTAGCACTCAAATTATGCACCATTACAGAATGCAAAAGCATTTCCTGACTACAGTATCAATAACTAGGTTAGTAGCAAGTATACTACAACTACAAAATACAAACACCATTAAGAAATAGTCACCCTGTCTTCACCTTGTTTTTTGAAACTTTGGCTGGGGCACAAAAATCTGTGAAACTCATGACAACCATGATAAATGCTAATAATTGCCCAGTTATTAGTTTACATTTTTGGATACAACCTTACTCCTGCTTATCTTCTTAATGCTACACTTGAGATCAAATATTTAATTATCTAAAGGGATTAGCTTTCTGTACTCAATGGTTTGTTAACTTCAGCAATATACACATGTTTGCTTACTTTATATTGCAATTTTTTTTCTATAATGACTGCATTACTGCCAGAGGGATTCTGGAACTGCTATGAAAAGTCTCCCCATCACACAACACTCATAGCACCATGATATATATCTATATATTCATTCCATTCTGGGACAACATTAAATGAACAGATGATTTAGAGAAATTTCTTATTTGACTGCATGTACTACAGCCACTACACTGCTCACATACATAAACATCAAAGAAAAACAAATATGATCATATAAACAAATGACAACACAAAGAACAAATCTGTAAGAACAGATCCACATCAACATGTGGCCCATTCAGAGACAAATGCCCACATGATTGTTAATAACGCCTTTCACAACCTGAAAATGTATATTAAAATCCAATTCATCATTAGGCACTAATTTTCTTTTCCTTATCTAGACAAAAAATTACCATGCAATTAAATGGATGGAATTCAAAATGCTTCTCTCTACATTTGCAGGTTGCAGTCATACTGACATATGCCAATATCAATTTACCTAAAGGATACCATAGTTTAAATGGACTCTCATAGAATCTCAACTTTGGACCTCTCTTGTCCATTCACAGTTCATGGACAGATGAACGCAAACGAACATATTACTAAGCTATAAGTATAATAATAAAACTCACAAGCATAATATATCATGATATTAGACTTCAATATCCTTCAAACACAAAGCTTGAATGGTAGTCTAAGAATTAAAACACGGAAGAATTGTCACATACTCTCTAGCCTTCTGCCTGTGAGTCATACTATTATTAGTGAACGATGCCGTAACATTCTACATGACTTGCAGGATTTGACTGGCCTCAAACACAGTTCCAGGTGGAAGGATGACTGGAGCAGACACATGACCTGCCTCGACACACACCAGGTTGGGAAATTCCTCTTCCCCAAAGTCTGGGATCTCTTTGGCTTTTTCAATCCAAGGATTCCACACCACTGAAAAAAATATAGACTCATTTAATTCTAACCCTTACCTAAATTATTATTACAATCTTTTTAATTAACACACTAACCATCTCCCACCAAGGTTATTTTTAACACATCAACCATTTCCCACCATGGCAGAGTGACCCAAAAAAAGAGGAAACTTTCATCAGCATTCACTCCATCAGTCTTGCCAGAGGCACACCTACACTACAGTTAAACTGCAACATCAACACCCTCCTTCAGAGTGCATGAACTGTATATCCACCTCCAGGAATCAAGTTCAGCTTGCTGGTTTCCTGAATCCCTTCATAAATGCTATCCTGCTCACACCCAGCAGTACATTGTCATAACCATTAATCTCCACTCGCTTCTAACACGCTCTCACACACATGCTGGAAGTACACGTTCCTCCTCTACCCCCTCCCTCCAACCTCTCCTAGGCTGACCCTACCACCACCTTCCTTCCACTACAGATGTATACACTCTCCAAATCATCATTTTGTTCCATCCTCTAAATGTCCAAACTACCTCAACAACCCTTCCTCAGCCCTCTGAATAACTTAGTAACCCCACACCTCCTAATTTCCAAGCTAGAGATTCTCTGCATTACATTCGCACCCCACATTGCCCTCAGACAAGACATCTCCACGGCTTCCAGCCTTCTCCTTGCTTACCACCTCTAGGATCTCAAGACTGGCTAACCATTTTCATAAAATTTCATGTCACCATATGGAAAGAGTTGTAAGCAGATGCCTTTAGAAAAAAAAAAAAAATGTTCTCTAATTCCATGTAGTGCTATATCTACCAAATCAGAGAGAGAACTGGGAGAATGAGAGGGGTACAAGGGGGGTCAGTAACTAATGCATCTGGTCACTACTCAAATTTTGCTATGTTACTTGAATACATAAAAATTTATTTTCCTTTTAAAATCTATGGATAATTTCATACATTCACAGGCTGCACAAGAGCAAAAAACTGTTAATAATTAAATTCTGCAAATCAGGAACCTCTGTAATTTGTGGGGTTTGGCTATTTACTTATGTCTGCACACTTTTGACAACACAGCTACTGAATAAGTGATGGTGAACACTACCTTTTCTGGGGGTATACCCAAACACTGTGGGAGAGCCAGTGTTTGGAGTGAAATACTTTGATTATCTATTGAAAACTGAACCGTGGATTCATGTGAAATGCTAGATTGTTGCAAGGAAAAGTAAAGGAAATGAAATATACATTGTGGTTCTTAAAACCAAATTTCCGAAATTTTCAACAATTAAGATATCCAACCCTGAATACTTACCAGTATCAACAAGATTGTATTTCTGCATTCTCATCTTGCGGCCACTTACAACATTGGTAATTATGTGTTCAAGGGGGGTATTCTGGTAGATACGATCTGTCCATTCATTAATGGTTACCACATCACGGTGCTCCTGGTAAAGTGCTCCTTCTCGGGTCTGGTGAAAATATAGAGTTGCAGTACTCCGAACAGTACCATGAATCACATGGCAAGAACACACAACATGGCAAAAAAAAAAAAAATTAAAATTACCCTTTTAACCCTTTGAGGGTCGACAGGCCCTCTCCGAGACTCGTTCTCAGGGTCGGCCAAATTTAAAAAAAAAAAAAAATTATTTTCTCGTGGAAAAGATGGAGAATCTTTTTCCCGATCATAATGACACCAAAAGTTTGAAATTTGATGGAAAACTTACGGAATTATGCTCTCGCAAAGTTAGCGGTCTCGGCAATGTTTACGCATCGGCGATTTTGCCCACTTTGATGCCCCTTTTTCAGCCAATTCCACTGTATTAGTCGACAAAAAACATGAATATTTCGCTTGAACTCCATTTTTTTCTATCGAATGGGTGCAAGAAACCACCCATTTATCAATTTCAACTATCCAGTACAGTGGTCAGAATTTAGCAATTTGCCAATTCACACAAATTTCAAAAGATGCCAATTTCCGAATAGGGTTTCAGAATAAAAAGACAAGACATTCCTGGCACTAAAATGACATTTCCTCTGGTCATTAGTCACTTCTCAAGGCCTCTCTTATATTCTTTTGCTTTCCACTTTGAATTTTTATTCTCACAAAAATAGAAGATTTACTGTTATGCAGACTACTGCATTAGTGTTAAAAAATGGTATAAATAATATTGGCGCACTTGTGAAAGAATACATGTATTAGACTCGCCAGTAGACGTGTATTGGACGCTTGGCATGATTTGTTTACTTTTGAAATTTGGTAAAAATCGAACATTTCTGCTATTTTGAGCTTCAATTTCAAGGTACTTTTATTGTGAAACCAGTCAAAATCATCTCATTTTCTGTAATATGTCTTCCATTCTATAAATGAGACCAAGAAAACTAGAATACAACAATAAATTACCATACGAAATACACTGCAAAGTTGCTGTTTTATTCCAAGAAAAAAACGGTCGAAGTTTTTTTTTTCTCATTATGCACTGTGTGCTGCAGGATTTTTTTAGACTGTGCACACTGACCACAGACCCATTCTTTCATTATGAAGGCCTACCAGCTTTCTCCCACTAGATTTGAGGGCGCTAGAATTTAGGCGTAAGTACGTCAAAACCCGGGGTCGTAAGCCGACTAGTCGGTGAAACCCTCAAAAGGTTAAAGGGAAAGTTTTCCCCCTTTAAAATGACCCACAAAATTTTGAAAAAGGGGCGGAATATACATATGAAATTTTTTTTTTTAAGCACTGAATTAATGCAAGATTTATATTACTGTATTACATATTAGATCAATCATTTTAAAATTTTCACTTTGGAAGTACAGAAACACACCGACTTTAAAAACATGATGCCAGCAACATCACAACATAAATCTCCTCAATTAATAAACCTTTTAAGTTTTAAATTTATTGTTTATGATGAATGATGCAAATGAAATTTTTCACATATCTATAAATTACAAATTGTTAATCCTTAAACTGTTCAAACGCAGATCTATGTTTTTTCAACATTTGAATGTAAAAAAACGTAGCTTTTTTTTTTTTTTACATTTGAAAACGTGTAAAAAAAACTTTGATCTACTTTTTTTTGTTATATTTGAAAATATGTAAAAAAACGTAGATATTTTTGAAGCACTACGCATGTGAACGTAGATCTGTTTGGACAGTTTAAGGTTAAGAAGGTACATTAACAAACCCAACTGTGTTCAAATGAGAACAAGGCTGTGGAAGGATGACAAGCACCAATACATATTTTAACTCATTCCCAACTTTGCCCCAACATATACTAAGATGCAAGACTGAGAACTCAGCTTACCCTTCATGCCAATAAACTCAAAATAGGTAAGGCATCAGTGAAATTTATTTTGAATGCCTCTACTGCCTTGTTCTTCATTTCTCACTTTCACATGGCTCCATTCGTTTCCTAATCTCATTTCTTGTCAAACCTCATTCTCTGCAAAAATCTGTCGACACCCACAGATGCGCTCTTAAAGTCTCTAATCTTTCATCTTGTTTCTACTTTACCTTGTATTAGTTAAATATTGTCTTAAAAAAAATTTAACACCGGCCATATCCCACCAAAGTAGGGACAGGAAAAAGAAGAAACACTTTAGCCATCACTCACTCCAGTCTTGCCAGAGGTGTGTCAATACTACAGTTCAGATGCCCTCCATACTCCAGAATGCAGACACCACTTCCCACCTCCAGGACTCAAATCAAGCTAACCAGTTTCCCTGAATCTCTTCGTATTTTTAACCAATGAAGTTCTGAATTGCCTTACTAGATATCTCTACAGTATTATGTCAAAATTGCTATTGCAGTTTAACATTTATGTTACCTACATGCTTATTAAAATGTTGAAAGGGGTAATCAGACATTTTTCTGCAATACAAGTAAAAACAAAAAATTAACCCCTCCTCCTAAAGTCTGATTTATTACTAATGAAGTATAGTATACAATGGATGATTTTCTCAGACTGCCCTTTAGAATCTCAAACTAGCAAAAAACTACAAACTCAAAAATTTGACTGGCTAAATATCACTAATTTTTAACAGCACATTTCAAGAATATGAAATTTTTCAAGGGATTTTCTGGGAAGTAAGCCAGACCTGAGTCCTGGAAATGGGAAGTACGGTGCCTGCACTTTAAAGGAGGGGTTTGGGATATTGACAGTTTAGAGGGACATCTAAACCGTCATATCTGAGTGCCTCTGCAAAGACAGTGATTATGTATGAGTGATGGTGAAAGTGTTGAATGATGAAAGTTTTTTTTTTTTCTTTCTTTTTGGGTCACCCTGCCTTGGTGGGAAATGGCCAACACGTTAAAAAAAAAAAATTTATCCAGCAATTTATGCTCAGATTAACCCTTTCAGGGTTGAGAGGCCCCTCTCCTAAACTCATTCTCAGGGTCGAAAATTTTTCAGAAAAAACATTTTCTCTCTCTCATGAAATGATAAGAGAATGTTTTCCCGATCATAATAATACCAAAAGTATGAAATTTGATGGAAAACTTAAGGGTTATGCTCTCGCGAAGGTAGCTGTCTCGGCGATGTTCATTCACTGGCGATTTCGCCCACTTTGAGCCCTATTTCGTCCAATTTCGGTGTACTAGTCGGCAAAAATCATATCCGTTCGTTAGAACTGCATTTTTTCTATTGAATGAGTACAAGAAACCACCCATTCACCGATTTCAAGTATCCAATAAAGTGGTCAGTAATTGGCAATTTTGCCAATTTCACACAAATTTCAGAAGATGCCAGTTTCCAAACAGGGTTCAGAATAAGCAAGACAGACATTCCTGGCACTAAAATAACATTTTCTGTGTTATTATCATGTCCCCAGCCCCTCTTACATCTCTTTTGCTTTCCACTTTGAATTTTTATTCTCCAACAAAAAATAGAAGATTTACTGTTATGCAGACTACTGCATTAGTGTAGAAATGGTATAAATAATGTCAGTACACTTGTGGAAGAATATCAGACTCACTAGATGACGTGTATTGAATGCTTCACACGATTTGTTTACTTTTGAACTTTGGTAAAAATCGAACATTTCTACTAATTTTAGCTCAATTTCAAGGTACTTTTCATTATGAAACTAACCAAAATCATCTCAATTTCTGTAATATGTCTTCCATTCTATAAAATGAGACCAGGTAAACTAGAATACAACCATAAATACCATACGAAAATACACTGCAAAGTCGCTGTTTTAAAACCAACAACGCGTTTGAATTTTTTTTTTCTCATTATGCACAGTGTGCTGCAGGATTTTTTTAATGTGCACAATGACCACATAGAACCCATTCTTTTATATGTAGGCCTACCAGCTTTCTCTCACTAGATTTGAAGGTGCTAGAATTTAGGCATTCTAGTACGTCAATAACCCTGTGCGTAAGCCGTACTGGTACGTCGGAAACCCTAAAAGGGTTAACAAATAGATGAAAATGTCAAGAATATTCTGACAACATAATTAGGAAACAGTTGAAAGACTTTACAAAGCTCAGTGTCTCTAATGTAAATGGTAATGCAGATTTTTTATTTACAAGGTAATGATGCGACTGAAAAAATGAAGAAAAAAACTAATATGCAGAATAAACGAACCTTATCTATATATGTGCACCCCCTCATGCCAGTAATCTGGCAACGTCGTACATCAGGAACCTTGAAATATGTATGGAGAAGAAGAGTGAAGGAATGGGTCTCTGCTCCTGGATTGTAAACAGATATGTTGAAGTGAAGTTCCTTTTCTCGTAGAATAAGGCGATACGTTAAGCTGAAGCTGTTGTGGGATGAAGAGTATTGTAATGCCTTTGTTTTTATGGCAAAAATAATTTATAAGCGTAACTTAAATAAATGGAACTTCACTCAAGGTTGATTCATTATAAAACAATATCAAAGAAACTAATATTAATCTCAAGCAGTTTGTACAGAACAGTAATTTATAAATATTAAACACTCTACAATAAACATTACCCCTTTTGTAAATTAAAATACCAGCCACTGATATAATCCAAATACATACAGAAAAACATGTTCGTTTAACAATAAAAACCTACGGATAATTCCACATGGAGCGAGTGAATTCATTATCCAGCAATTGGAACATAGCCTCTACATCTCCAGTAGGTAAACGTTCTGGAGGCTTTTTTAACTCCCAACGACAAATGCGAGCAAATCCATGCTGTGGGCCAGTGCTCCAAGGTCCAAACTGGGCTATAAGAGTAAAGCATATCAAACCACTTAAAATAGTATATTTAAGCAATAAGAAATCTGAGGTTGTAAACTGGATGGTCATTATCACAGATTGGAAGGACTATCATAGGCTAATTGATAGACATTCTTCCCAACCGTTTTGGGAAGAGTAAAACTGGAAAAGGTGAAGCTGAAAGAGTGTTGTCTGAGAAAAAATAAGCAAGGAGAGAAGAGACAGAGACAGACAGACAGACACAGACAGAGACACAGACAGAGAGACAGAGACTAGACAAGAAAGGAAAATGCTTATTGGATATATATCTATTCAAGATACTGTAACTAAAGTTAATTCTGCAGGAAGCATACTTACGAAAAACGATTGGAATTCCTCCACGGATTGCTCGTTTTCCATCAAATATTGCCTGTTTGCTGAAAACAGAGAATTTAAAAAATTAAATAGATGGGGTTTCTGTTATTGTTAAGCACCTGTTCTTATAAGAAATTCACAAGCTCTTGCATACAAGCCATAAATGGAACGATAAATATCAAAATTCACATTCAAGTATGACAATATCACAATCATAAGGACTGAGACTAAAGGAGGCACGGATACCAAACTCTTAAGAGACACTGGCATAACTCCTAAGGAGTTATGCAAAAAAAGTTCTCAGTGCCTGATCATCCCAATTAATATTTCTCGCTTACACATAATCTTGCCTCTGTACAAACTGTCTACAATGTTAACCTTTTCAGGGTCCAGAGGCCAAATTTCAAAGTGCGCATCATGGGTCCAAGAATTTTCAAAAAAAAATTTTTGTTATTTTTTCTTATGAAATGGTAGAGAATCTTTTTTCTGAAGGTAATAAAACAAAAAGTACGAAATTTGATGGAAAATTGACGAAATTATGCTCACGAATTTTGATGTGTCAGTGATATTTACGAATTGGTGGATTTTGCCGACTGACTCCCATTTAGGCCAATTACATTATTCCAGTCGAACCGAATTCTTAGCTATTTCACTAGTATTACTTCTATTCTATTGATTGAACACAAGAAATCACCAAGTCAACTGTTTCAACTACAAAATAAAGTGATCAGAAATTGGTAATTTAGCCAATTTAACACAAAGTTCAAAATAGGGTCCAGTATAAAACAATGTAGGTATTCCTGGCACTATACTAACATTTCCTCTGTTCATTAGTTACGTTTTGAGGCTTTACAAATGAATTCATTTGATTTTTTATTCACAATGAATTTTTATTCAAACCAAAATATAGAAGATTTACTGTTATGCAATATTGTAATAATTGTATAAATATCATCACCACATTTGTGAATGTATATTAGACCCACCAGCTGGCGTGTATTAGACGTGTCAGGTCGTTTGTTCACTCTTGAACATCGGCAAAAATTTAACATTTCCAGTGCTAAAACCAATCAAAACCATCTTTATCTCTCTAATATGTCTTCCATTCTATCAAAAGAGACAAGAAATCACAAATACAACTATAAAAAACATACGAAAAAACACTGCGAAGTCGCTGTTTTAATCGAAAATCACGGTCTCAGTTTTTTTTCTCTCATGCACTGTGTGTTGCAGGATTTGTTTTATGTGGTGCACACATACCACATAGATGTATTCTCTCATATCTAGGCCCAAATTTACCACTCACAGCTTATCAGAGTGAGCTGAGCTCATGATGTAGATCTACGGTTTGGACCCTGAACGTAAAGCCGTAAATCTACAGCACGGACCCTGAAAGGGTTAATGAGTACCGAACAGTTTATACAGTACATTTTTTTCTGTACAATGCAGTAGAAGTAGAATAAGTACATTCAGAGGTCTCCCTACATCCACATGGGATACATTCCAAGACTTACCATGAATGCCTGAACCACATAGTAGCAAACCCTATATACATGTCATTTTTTTGTTTACATACATACTTCTGTATGTAAGTAATGTCACCATGGTTGTTCAATATACGTATTTATAGATGGGGTTGTAAGAGAAACTAAATGCTCATGTGTTGGCAAGAGGTGTGGGGTTAAAGATTAAGAATCTAACACAAAGTGGGAGTTGTCACAGCTGCTTTTGCTGATGACACTGCTTTTGGGAGATTCTGAAGAGAAGTTGCAGAGATTGGTGGATGAGTTTGGTAGGGTAAGTAAAAGAAGAAAATTGAAAGTGAATACATTGTATGTGTAGGAAAGAGTAAGGTGATGAGGATAACAGAAAAAATTAGGCAACAAAAGATTGGATATCAGATTGGTGGGAGAGTATGGAGGTGAATGTATTCAGACATTTAGGAGTGGACGTGTGAACAGATGGATCTATGAAAGATGAGGCGAATCACAGAACTGACAGAGAAAAAGGCAAGTGGTGCACTGAGGAGTCTGTGGAGACAAAAACTTTGTCCATGGAAGCAAAGAGGGAAATGTATGAGAATATAGTTATAATGATGCTCTTATATGGGTGCAAAGCATGGTTGGTGAATGTTGCAACAAGGAGAAGGCTGGAGGCAGTGGAGATGTCGTGTCTGAGGGACACATGTGGTGTGAAATAAATGCAGAGAATTCATAGTTTTGGAAATTAGGAGAAGGTGAGGGATTACCAAAACTATTATCCAGAGGGCTGAAGAGGGGTTGAAGTGGTCGAGACATGTAAAAGAGGATGAAACAAAATAGAATGACTCAGCGTATAAATCTGTAGGAGGGAAGGCAAGATAGAGGTCAGCCCAGGAAAGGTTGGAGGGAGGGAGAGGGTAAAGGTTTTGTGTGTGAGAGAGGACTTGGACTTCCAGCAAGCATGCATAAGCCTGTCAGATAGGAGCGAATGGAGAACAATAGTTTTTAGGATTTGATGTGCTGTTGGAGTGTGAGCAGGGTAACATTTATGAAGGAATTCAGGGAAACTGGCAGGCCAGACTTGAGTCCTGGAGATGGGAAGTACAGTACCTGCACTCTGAAGGAGGGGTGTTAATGTTGCAGTTTTATAACTGTAGTGTAAGTGCACCTCTGGCAAGGCAGCGAGAGTGAATAATGGCGAAAGTTTTTCTTTTTCAGGCCACCCTACCTTGGTGGGAAATGACCGATGTGTTAATAAAAAAATAAATAACATATTTTGAAAAACTTTAATTGGTAAATTATGCATAAAAAGTCGAGAATTAGCACTTTCCCTGATGGGAAGAAACTTCACTTTTGTGGTTTGTGAGCATTATTAAGCAAAACTAAGTGTTATTTTTTGTGCCACAGCAAACCACGAATAACAAACTGCAGAAACTGAGTCTGCAGATACAGGGCTCTACTGTACTCATTTTTTGTGGATTTTGGCTTCAGAATAGAACAAATGGTAACCTGAAGGTAATCTAGAAAGCATCCCTATTGGCTGTAGACTAAGAAGCACTGCCTCTTATGGGAAGGCTACTGTCAAGTACATACATATACCTGCCAGTTAAAAATTAGTCGTGGATTTTTCAGCAAGAAAATGAAACCATACAAAACACAAATGCATCAGCTACCTCCAGAACAAACACTACAGAACAGTCCTATTTCACAGCATTTTTATTTTCCAAAATAGTACTTGATACCTCAGATATAAGATAGCTACCATTAAGTAGATATGCAAATAAAAATATAACAAGACTGTAGACTAAAGGTTACAGTAATGCTGTAGTATATGAAAGCTAGTCAAGGCAGTGTCAACTCCCAGATTCCTTCCCTTAGTGTACAGACGCCAGGAAAATCAGCACTTCCGTCATGTACTTAAAATATAGTTACAGAAAGACTAAAAATATGTTTAATGTTATTACAGAGCCCATAGAGCAAGAGAAACGGGCAATAAAGTGAAAGGAGGGAGCATAGTTAACAAAACATTATAGTACATGCAGCAGTTACCACCACAAAACTATTACTGTATCTTGCTTCACACAATTACACAGCAAGATTACAGTACTAATGTTGTAAACCCAAATTAAACATTCAATTATCTTTATCATTATTTCTAGTTCAATGCTAGCATCAAAACTTCTTTCTCTAACCTTACTTTGTCACAGTACATGAGAAAAATTACAGTACTTAAAAATCACCCATAAATAGTAATCTAACAGGATTTTTTTATTATTATTAACGCATCGACCGATTCCCACAAAGGTAGGGTGACCCAAAAAAGAAAAACTTTAATCATTCCCTCCATCACTGTCTTACCAGAGGAGTGCTTTAAACTACAGTTATTAAACTGGATATTCACACTGATGGTATTCACCAGTGGTGGCACCAGGGGAAGGGAGAATTGCTTCAGTCCTTAAAAAAAAAAAAAAAAAAAAAAAATTCCTCAGCCCCCACAAATAAAATAGTAATACCACTGCTTCAAAACATGTCTTCTACTCCCCCCCCCCTTCCAATAAGAGAGCAATCCCTAAGCACACCCCCCTACCCCCAGTACAAATTCTGGCACTGCCCCTGGTATTAACAAAAAAATTTTTTAAGCAAATCAATATGTGTGCTTAGACAATATTAATCTTTCAAAGACATAAGGAGTGCAAGTACTCCTAGAGATCTGCCAGATTGTGCATTCAAAAATTTCAACCCAACTGGCCTCCAACCCACCCCCAATGCACGGCAAAAACATTTTGCAGTCTGGCATCGTTGACAACACCCGATCAGGTTCACTGCCTCAGAATGCAACCAGACCACTTTTTTACATCATTTTTGTGGGCCATTTCAGGCAGAACATGAGAGCATTCACAGCATTCGTTATGCTCTCCCGGAGCTGGAGTTTAAAGTTGGAAAGGTAAAGTTACCCAGCCGTGTGGTCAGGTGCACCACCAAAGCCTGTATATTCTAACCAGTAATACGTACAATTATAATATACTGTAAATAGTTTTATTTTGGTCTCTAATTTGCATACTATCACATTAAGTTTATCCAAGACAATTAAGATATGAATACGTACTTTAGACATCAATATTATTTCATTCAAAAGAAATTTATGTACATTTCAGCTTTTACAAGTTATAAGTATATAGATACTGCACCTAATATAAATATATCCTTTCCTCATGCTCTAAAACTTGCTTGCATATGATTAGAAAACATGGCCTTGAGTATTCCATTAGGGGGATGATAAACATTAATTAAAAATATTATTTTCCAAAAGAAACATTAGGCCCATGTGGATCCTCCGGTGCTGCAGTCCTCAACATAAGCAACTTAGGTTTTATGAACCATTCAAACAAAGAACTTCCCATGCAATATGTACTAGCATAAAGGTCCTACTGGGATAGTGATATTTGTTTAAGTAAATGATGAGCCCTTGATACTTGAGTGCTACACAGTAATCATAAGTACATCACTGACATAGCAACTTTTGCACTAAAATAATTAGCATCAAGATAGACATTAAATTGTTTTTAATCTATACTGCACACAAGGTTTCAGAAAAAAAAATGCATAGTGAACAGAGGATAATTTGTGCCATTATTAGAGGCACTTCCCACAAAACTTACTGGAGCCTGTACTGTGTGACATGCAAGTCTAGTGGCTTAAATGGACTCACCTCACAAAAAGTTGTTCTGGTTATTTACGCGCCATGAAACCACGGTCGCACCTGTTGAGGTAAGAATTAAGCTTTACTAGTTTTTCAAGCTTGCATGGGGAAACTTTTACATTATGATGGAGAACAACCACAGATTTGGCCGATAAAACATTCCCATTTATATCTTCGCTAAGTATACTTAAGTCCTCATACAGGGGCTACCTTGGAGGACATCTGGTGGTAATCTTCCAGTTTCCTATGTATTAGTTTTACTTTCCGTATTAAAATCACCAGGTCACCATAATTATGGAACCCATTGTTGCACATTTACTAACTACCCCCAACAAAGGTTCCTTCCACAGTCAAGAATCCTTATCACAACTAAGGTATCCACAATAACATTTACAAAACAAATATACGAGCTTCCATGCAAAAAAAGAGGTCTGTGGGGGGTAAAGTCCTGGTCTTGATAAGGAAGCCCCAGAAACCAGTCAAACAAATCACAAGTCAATAAGGATTACACTAGCTTCAGACTAAGATAACAACATCCCTTGTCTAGAAACAGTAAATAGAGGAGACAGTGGTAAACAACGCTCAAAAGAATGGTAAAACAGGTTTGAATGGAAGTAATGCGAGTACTGATATCTGTCTTGTGACAATTTTAATGTAATACTTTATAAACAAATCTTGTAGAAAATAGCCAGTATATATGGCTAAAGAAGTTCCTATAACATTTATATGCAGTTGACCGACTTAACAGTAGCTACGTTCTGAAAACGGTATTTAATCAAGAAATTGTGCATAATGAACTGAAGAATATACGGGAAAAAATATGGTAAGTTCCTTCAATCTCCCCCCCCCCTCCCCCAAAAAAAAAGGCAAACCAATTTTTTTTTAAGTCTGTAAACTTTAATAGTTATAATGCAATTGTAGTTTAATGCATTGATTTATTATAGTTAATACAATATGTATAGCAACATAGGCTACATAAATATTTCTTATTTTAAAGTAATTGCTGATGTATGTCAGGGATAGTGTAGCCTTTTCTAGGCTAGCCACTTGCAATGGCTCAGCCATCCTCAGAAATAATATCCTGTAATTCCCTGCAGCCGTGATCAGCAGCAGCATTCCACAAAATTTATTATGCAATTGACTACACAATTTGAACTTGAGGAACCGCCTATCTAAACAAGCACTCTTCGGGCCGCCTTCTTCACACAGGTTTTAAAATATATTTTTTTTTTTATTCCTGAAGATGAAATAAAGTGGTGCACCTGTCTTGGTGTTGTCTTCAATCCACTCAATAACTTTCCCACTGATTTAATAATAATAAATAATCATAATAAATAATCATAATAATCATAATAAATAATAATAATCATAATAAATAATCAATCATAATAATAATAATAATAATAATTATTATTATTATTATTTCCACAAGTACATGTACATTGCAAACAGACCTACCTGGTATCAGTGACATGCTACAATACAGGTACTCCTCACTCGAAAACCGAATTCCGTTCCTAAGGGTAGGTCAGCAAGCAAATTGGTCGTTAAATGAAAAGTCACCCCTTACATATTTCAGGCATACTGTACTGGTAGTGGGTTTGCATCAACCACCTTTAGATATTGTTTAATGTCACCTTTGCACCACTTAACATTTTTAGTATATAATAATAGAACTAGGCATTAAAAACGCTAAAAATTAAAATACACATACAGTACACTAGCTGGAGAGCTAGTCGTACGTCTGAGCAGTCGTTAACCCTTAAACTGTCCAAACGTAGATGTACGTTGACGTGCAGCAGGCTCCGAACGTAGATCTACTATTTTTTTTTTTTTTACATGCTTCCAAATGGGGAAAATCAGGGTCGGAGCGCTATGCAAGTGAGCGTAGATCTACGTTTGGACAGTTTAAGGGTTAAGCAAGGGATATCTGCACAAAAAGTCCCCTTGTTATGAACAGCATTTCTGGCAAATTATGTTAATTTTGTCCCCAGGATGCAACCCACACCAGCTGACTAACATCCAGGTACCTATTTTAACGAATAAGTGAACGGGGACAGCAGTTGTTTTAAGGCAACACATCCCAATGTTTCCACCCGTACTGGGGCCCTGACCCACAGACCTCAATCTGTGAGCAAAATGCACTAGCAATCTAGCTACTCGATGGATTATTCATTGTAAAAAAACTTGTATGTTTGCCTCGTTCATTCTAATTACGCAAATTAATTCCTCAATCCGACCACAGGCTTGTGCAGTCTCCTCCACGCATGCACCACTTAAGCTTATCTAAGGATCTTTAATTTTCTTCACAACACCAAGACTTTCATGTTTATGCTTCTTTGCACTTACAGGGTTACTCCACATTTCTCTTGGGTGCCATGGTCACTGTCCAGAGATGAAGGATGATATAGAGACAAATCAATTCACCAACAGTATGGTATGGAATGCATCTGAAAGTGCTGAGGTGAGGACGTGTGTAAATTATGGAGGCCTCCTAAAATAAGACAAAGGTCTCTTGTAGGCTCACTATGTGATGGGGCAAGAAAGAACCCAACACTTTCCACATTTTTTCCTCCCTACATGTACCCAACTGTTTAAACATTAATACAGCGAGTTTACTGAAAATATGCTGCAATTTTATAAGTGTTAGTCCAAAGGTGTCAACAGAATGTGTGTTAACCCAAGTCAACTGTACAGTACTTGGTTCATTCTAACGTTTAGCTTTAATGTCCCTCAATCTGGACCTAATCCTTTAAAAGGGTCTTTACTCACTACCTTGTCAATATCTGTATTATGGTTACACAAACCTTGTAAGCATTTTATCGCAAAAAATTTGCCTCGGTTCCCGTTACAAAACCTGGTATGCGATACAATTCGTATGAGAAGTGTCCAGTGTTTACAAGCCAGTCAGTGTGCGCGCATCTAAGGATACATTCGGTACATTCTATATTATCCATATTATCACTGTTTTTGGTGCTTATTTCTGCAAAATAAGTCACCATGGGCCCCAAGAAAGCTAGTGCTAACCCATCAAGACCAAGGGTGCTAATGACTATTGAAATTAAGGAAATGTGTGCAAAGTGGCTTGAAGTGCAAACATTTTTTGATGAAAATCACCTTGACACAGCTACTGCAAGCCGTGTTGGCAACCTGTACACTGACAATGTTGTGAACCACTTTAGGAAAGTCATAAAGGTACGAGAGGTACAGGCCCCTATGGACAGATATGTTGTGCGACAGAAGTCCAGTGACTTAAGCTGGTCCTAGTGGCATTAAAAGAAGGGAAGTAACCCCGGAAAAGGACTTGCTACCTCAAGTCCTAATGGAGGGGGGTTCCCCTTCTAAACATTAAAAACTTCGGCACTCTCCCCCCTCCTCCCATTCCATCAATCACCACCAGATCATTAAAGCTAAGTGTCAATTATTCTATTATGATTATTCTATTGTTAATGTAATTTTTTATATTGCATTAAACTTAATATTTCATGTGGTAAAAGTTTTTTTTTTTTCATACTTTTGGGTGTCTTGCACAGATTAATTTGATTTCCATCATTTCTTATGGGGAAAACTGATTTGCTTTCCGATAATTTTGGTTTACGATGAGCTCTCAGGAACGGATTAATATCGTGAACCGGGGGTCCACTGTACATGCTTACCAATACAAGACACTTGTGAAACACTAACATTTTATTAGGAAACATTGCCTTAGTCAGCCCAATGAAAGCTATTCCATATTTTTGGCTCATTTTATTTGCACTGAGTTTCTGTAAAGATTCAGAACACTAGCAATATGACAAGCTCTAAATTCAATTTTTTTTTTTTCAGTTTGAGGAGTTTAATTACCCCCCAGTACTACTGCACTAGCTTTATTTTAATCAGGGGGAGCACTAAACCTGTAGGGGTCATGTGGGGCCTGGGGAATGGGAGGCATTCAGGTTCAATCCAAGGAAGGGTAGGATAAGTCATTCTTTGACACTACAGGATCACCTGGATCAAAGCATTTCACTTTAAGGGTACTGCACAGGGTTGTTAATCCTTGTCTATTTTGGTTAGGCTGAACCAAAGTATTGTAGCTAGTTACTATGCCATTCCTGTAGTTTATTCATGTCATTCTGCAAAACTTTTTTTTTTATAATAATTATTTCCCTACCATTCTGATTACCAGAAGATTTAGTCAGCTTCCAATAGACATACCTTCGATAAGTTCCAAGAGTTCTTCTACTTCCTGGAGCCCAACCACAGGCCAAACCCGTCTGGTGCTTGCCTGGTCAACTAGGTTGTTGCTGCTGTTAGTCTGCCAATTTACATATCCATCACACCCTGGTTGATCTGACACCTGGTGAAGAAACGTGTCCAATTTCTTCTTTAAGACTTCTACACTTGTTCCAGGAGTGTTTGGAAATTTGGTATGATGATGAATAGTCTGAGGCCACAGATGCTGATACAGTGTTCCCTTATTGCACCCACTGCACCCCTGCTTTCACTGGGTTTATTTTGTATTTCCTCCCATATCTCTCACTCCAACTTGTAGTTATGGTAGTGCGTAGATTTTGGGAAAAGGCCCCTAAAGTACTTTCCAGGTATATATTATCAGGCATCTCTTACACTCAAGTGAGTATTGTTACGCGCCCCTACTTCACTCCATTATATACAAAAATAAAAGGCCTGGTTAAAATAAGTTCTGTAATAATATATCGCGAACCACTTTATTACTAGCTAGATAAAGCAGGTTCGACTATATATTATTATCGGGGACAGTATGAATCAAAAGTACTCTCATTGTATTATATTGTATATTATATCTTTCCCCATGATTATTATAACTATAATATTATATTAAAATTATTATTAGGTTAGGTATTACGAATGTGTAACCACTACTGTAGTGACCAATTGGTGGTTCTAGAATTGACGCCACGCGTCGCCTTCTGGCAGAGCTAAGTCTGACTATGAAGTAGTTGAGTGAGTCAGTCAGCTCCTAGCTCTGACTCGGTACGGGTCTTCAACCCAAAGCTCCTAGCTTAA